AACCAAAGGCCAAATATTTTATCTGATAAGTGGATGCTGATCCATAATGGGGAGGGGCAAGGGGAAAATGGAGGAACTTTGGATTGAGCAGAAGGGAGAGAGGGGAGTCAAGGAGGTATGTGTTGAGGGGTTAAGATGGTAGAATGAGATGGACATTATTACCCCTATTTATGGGTATGACTGCACAAATGGTGTGACTCTATATCATGTACAACCAGAGAAATAAAAAGTTGTGCTCCATTTGTGTAAAAAATTAAATAAATGAATAAATGCATGTCTAAGGAATGAGAAGGTTTTAATAAGTGGAGATAAATACCTGTGTTCTGCATCTGTTCTACAGAGAATGTGTGTGGGTGAGAGAGAGGAAGAGGGTTGACTCCTCACAAGAGTGTCACCCAGCAAGGACAAGGGTTTCCATCTGTTTTGTTCACAGTTATATTCCTAGTGATTTCAATAATGTCTGGTGTCTGCCTGATGCTTGGTGAATACTTATTAATGAATGAATAAGTTGGTGAAAAGACGGAGGGTAGAAAACAGTTAATGGCTAAAAGCATGGACTCCCTGCTGCCTCCATAGAAAAATGGTGCTGATGTGGGGGATGGGCTGTGAGCGACCACCCTGCTGAGGGGGTACTGAGGAGAGGCAATAGTCCCCACCCCCCACCTCACCTCCACTCCCACCCCCATCCTGTCAGACTTCAGGATGCCATTTGCATAGCTGATTTTCAGAGTTCCTAAGTTTTTAACGAAAAGCCGCCAGGCCTGACGTCTTTAATTGGAACTGAAGGAAAAAAGCTGCTCTCAGAATGAAGTGCCTTGAGTCAGGCCTCAAAAGGAATCATCACAGAGTTCTCCTTTGCACATCGTGGGTCTTTGACAATATGTGATATGCAAAGACGGTGAAGGGAAAAACGTGTGTGTGATTGCAAAAAAAGATGGGAACTACAGAAATCATCAGGAGCATTTAATTCAAACCACCGATGAATGTAAATTAGGCTATTTGCATAAAAATGTGGCATCACTACAAATATTGGTTAAAATTCAGAAATACATGAATAATGAATAAATTCTACCTTAAAGTTTATAAAATAAAAAATGTAATTACTCTTGGAAAAAAAGAAAAAAAAATCTTGCACTTTATGGTGCTTAATAAGAAAGGGGAAACCAAAAATAAACTGAATATGGAAAGTTTTCAGTAAGTACATCATGCTTTTTTTTTAATGTTAAGAAATGACTACCTAATCAGTGTCTGTGATAATGATCTGCAATCTTACCAGTGTGAGATTGATGATAAATACCAAGTACTAATTTTCTAATAACATGAAGAATAGATAAATAACACATTTTCAGGTAGGAGTCACCCAGTCCTCTCTAGTGAGACGTTGTAAGAGTCCAGCTATTCTAATATAACTCAAATAAAAAATTTTAAAATGTCATTTTAATGCAAATAACCTAGAAGCAGACTTTTAATCTATTGGTGCTCGAAGCTTATTTTTATCTAAGTCTTGGATAGTAAGAATGTTGGAAATAATTGAGTTCTTGTCTTAATTACATAAAGACTAATTTAGAACCTCATTTATTTGAAGGGTCTCTGGCATAAAAAATCCATTTAAAATTACACACAAGCGCAGGTAATTAAAAATTAAAGTTGAAATCAAATGGAAAAGGCATGATTGAAGTGGGTTGAGACTATTCTGAGTCGCTCGAAGGGCATTGAAAGGCGAGAGGGAATACATAGACTTGAAAAAGAGGCAAAGAAAGGTGTAGGATAGTGGGATGTAGCTTCCAAAGGCTCTGTGGTTTTGCTTTATTTTGATTTTTGGAGTATTTCTAGTATATGTTCATTTGCAAAAGGGACCACATGCAATCAGGAGAGATCACCTGGCTGGGACAGAAGAGGGCTGGGGATTCCCAGTCACAAGACACCTTACCCTGGAAGGGGATGCCAGGCCTGCTGGCAACAAAGGAGGACACATCAGAGCCAGCATGGCCTTTAGGCATGGACACACCTCAAGCACAGCAAGCTCTTCTTCACAGAAAGCTTTTTGAGCCGCTTGAGCTATTAATAACAAAATACACGCATGCGCACCAGCACAAATTTAAAATAGTCATTGATAATCCACTTCACAGTTTGCAAATGGCTCTTATATACATAATCTCACTTCATCCTCACAATAGCCCAGTAAAGAATAAGCACATTACTAGCCCCGTTTTTAAAACTTTTTTGACAATTTTTTTTATTTCCTAAGCTACACAGGTACATAGTTTTTCATATTTTTATTGGTGCACCATAGCTGTATAGAATGATGGGATTCGTTGTTACATATTCATATATGCTAGCTCCATTTTGTAAGTGGAGTAGCCAAGATCCTGAAAAATTAGGAACAAACCTAAAGCACCAGGACTAAAAGTCAAAATATTTGACTCCAAATTCCAGAAGGCACTATCTGCCTGTGTGCTGACACTTTTCAAATTTTTCACCCTTGGTAGATTCTTCTTTCTGCATCTTCATTTTCCGTTTAATTATTTCCCTCTCCAGTTTTTCACTGTCGTCCCTTCCCTTCCCATTTTCTTGTTCATTTCCTGTCCATGGCTTGATCCCTCCAGCAGTCTCAGAGAGCTCTGCTCAGCCAGCCAGTCATTCTCAGAGCGGAGGAGTCTTTGATTCAGAGGTTTTGCTTCTGGTACAGCAAAAGCAGTGCCCTCCTGAGAACTAGTTGAGAGCTCATGGAAGTACCCGCAGGGTAGAGGTAAATTCATTCCATGCTACAAAGTAAAAACCTGATAGGTCCTTAGATTCACATGGAGAAGCAGCTCTACGAAACCTTGGTCTTTCATCAACATCATGTCCCCATTCTGTATTACTCAGCCAGAAAGAAGAATGAAATCATGGCATTTGCTGGTAAATGGATGGAACTGGAGACTATCATACTAAATGAAATAAGCCAATCCTAAAAAAACAAGGGCCAAATGTTCTCTCTGATATGTGGATGCCGACTCACAATAGGCATGGGTAGGGGAATGGGCGGGTGGAGGTTCACCATTTGAAGAGTGGAGGGGAGTGGGGGGAAGGAAGGGGGATTGGGAGTAGGAAAGACAATAGAATGAATTCAGACATAACTTTCCTATGTTCATATATGAATACAAAATCAGTGTAACTCCACACCATGTACAAGAATGGAAAGTTATATTCCAGGTATATAGGTAAAATATACATTCTACTGTTATGTATAACTAAAAACAACAAATTTAAAAATTAAAGAAAAAAACATTAAGACCCCTTCTGGGTCCCAGAAAACAAACTTCTCTACTCTGCCCCAGCAAGAAATTCAGACTGTGTCTAGGAGGGCCACTTATGACCCTTTGCTAAATCTGGATTATTTCCCTGCAGACTTTATAGATATCTAATGGCTGAGCCATGAATCAAATGTCCAAATCTCTATTCCTCTCCCAAGGACCAAGACAGCTCCTAAACAGGAGCTATGATGATTTGTAGCAGTTTTCTCCGTGTGCGGTTTTTCAGAGCATTAGCAGTATCTGAGAGCCCACTGAACATGCAAACTCCCAGCCCCATCCAAATCTAGTGGACTAGAAACTCCAGGGAGTGGGCCCCAGCTATTTGTGTTAATGGGCCTCCTAGAATATCCTGATGCCAGCTGAGACTTGGGAACCATTGGCCTAAATATAACCCAGTGGGAACAACCCTAGACTAGGAGGCTAGCCCTAGACTAACTGTACACATGGTATTTAGTCTTAGGCTCCTCATTCACATATGAGCTCAGGTAAATTGTGTCACCTCCCCAGGCCCCACTTTCCCATCCAATGAAGAAGTCTTGTATGTGAGTGCCAGGCACTTTCCTTCCAAGCACATTCTAGGAGCCTTCGAAAAGTATGCTTTGACCGTTCCGTGGGCTACCGCTGCCTCTCAACATCATCAACATGAGTTGTCATCCTTACTCCACAATAATATCTTGCTTTCTTGAAGTCTTGAAGCTTATTCTTCAAGAACCTCTGGTTAAATTATAGTTCAACCTGCAAGTCAGTCCCTTAGCTGTCACCTATATCAGGGTTACATGTCAGCTAATCTGAGACCTAGAACAGGTAGCTCTTAAAAGGAATAGGATCCAGAATGAAGGGTGGGGCTGGTCCCAGCACAGCAAGTCAGCAGACATACTCTATCCAATTCCCAGCGTCATGGAAAGTTAGCCCAAGCTTGGTTAGATTTTGGATTACAACATTTTCTTTTTTTGCTAGTCCTGCTGCCGTCCTTCCTTCTTACAGCATTAAATAAAATGTTCATCTAGAAAGAGTGCTATAAATAAAAAGAAGTTACACTCCCAAAAGCAATTGATTTATCAGGGATTTGGTTGTCATTCTGGGTCATTTAGGTTGGTGCCTTGTTAGAATCAGTGAGTCAGTCAGAGGGGAGTGCTCCATGAGACTGTCCTTTCACTCCTTCCGCAGGAATATCCAGGTCAGCCCCTCAGCCACCTCGTGTTAGTGGGATCACTACCACATGCAGGATCAGGGAGAGCAGCAATTAACAAGTTAGGAAGTCACTTCCCTGTGGAGCCCACAGAGGGATGCTTTCTACCTCCTATCCTCCCCAGCTCCTCTCTCCCTTCCTCTAAAGTCACTCCACAGAGGGAACAGGCATGGGTACACCAGGCTTGGAATAAGAGTCAGTGTGGATTTTGTAACCTGTAACCTGACTTAACCACTTCACACCCCCTAATATCTTTAGCTATTAATGTGATTATTTTATAATATTCACAAATGTCACCATTTTAAAAAGAACATGCCACGATATAGGTCTTCTTAAACAAATCCCATCGTGTACAAATTATTGAATTCCCGGTAGATGCCAAGCCATGAACAGACCTAATCATACCGAAAGGGTTCATCTGCCACCTGCCTCATGCTCATCTCCACAGCTCTCCTGCAGCACGACATCTAGGAAGAGGGGTCACCAGCTAATTACAAAACCAGGCAGACACTTACTGTTGTCCTCAGTAGCACAATGTCTGCTTCTTGCAAGGAACACGGGACACAGCTTGCCCAGACATGCCAAGCCGGTCTCCAATAAAACACCAAGGGGAGGATTCCAAATGAGACGATGGATCCAGCCAGGCAGAGGACTTTCCTGCAGCTTTGAGTCCGATAGCCAAATATTTCCTGAAATGGAATCAAAATGACTCTCAATATTGGTTGAGCACAATATATGAACAAATACTGATTTTAGCAATGAACTGGGGGCAGAGAGGGAGTGTTGACGGGGGGGGGGGGGGGGGAGGGGAAGACAAGGAGAGGAAGAGACACAGTGGAGCAGGATTCCTGACAAAGAAATTTCAGACATGATCCCAGACCTCCAAGGAAGAACCATCTAAATGCAAAAATTCGTTTCTACAATTTGGGCCCTCAGCTGCCCTGGCCCAAACACTATACCACTATGCCAGGCATTCAGATATATGGGTTGTTGAAGTCTCCCAATTATCCCTATGGTCCCTGAAATATTACCCTCATTTCACAAACTATGGGACTGAGCTCAGAATGGCTAAATGGGACAAAGTGTCCAAGGCCTCACAGCCAGTTCCACTGCTAAGATTCAAACCCAATTCTGTCAGCAGGCGAACCTTGAGTTTGATTCATAGCTACAGCAGACAGGTCCACAAGCCTTGTGGCAGGAAAGCTAGCCATGACAGTGAACCAGTGATCCTGTTGGCTAGAACCAGCAAACCCCCCCAGGCCGGGGAAAGGGCAACCAGGCTGTGAGGTTTGGAACCAGGATTCAGTGAAAGAATCTGATCACAAGAGGGTTAACAGCCAACTTGCTTTTGGGAGTTTGGTCACATATGTCCCCATGTTCCTCCCATGTTAAGTAACAAAAGGAATTTGACATCAGAAGGGATAATACATAGAGAATCTGTAGTTCACATCAGCTTGTGTTATTGAGCACCATTATGAGACATGAGAGGATGTTATTAGATCCTAGACAATAGAAATTTGAACAAGATAAGAGATTCACCTCTCATACATGTCTAATCTAGACAAAATTCTTTCCAAGAAAAGTCTGGAGCAGAATAGAAAACTACCCTTTGAAGTTTATGGCCTTAGTCTCACAACTACTTTTCACAAAATCATAGGTATTCTTTTTACTGGTTATAAAACTGAGAAGGAGTAGAATGTTCTGGTTAAAAGCACATTCTCTGGACCAAGACACTTTGGGTTCAGAGACTAGCTGTGCCTCTTATTGGTTATGTGAACTTACACTAAGTTATTTAATCTCTTTCCTCCTCAGTTTTTTATCAATAAAATGTGGGTAGTGATAATATCTAGGGAACCAGAGAGCTGAAATAAAACTTTGCAACCTCCGCTTCCTGTCTCACCTGATCAAGAATACATTATCTGGAAAGGTTCTGTGATCCCGAGCTGAAAGCTATTTTCAAGTGTAATTATTAGATTCCCTCCTACGATTGGCAGCACAGACAGGCACTGAATGACATCCTTAGGTATTGTCCACATTTGGCCTGACTCTTATAGAATGTTTGCATTAACTCAGAAATCAAAGCTTTGACTTATTTGCAGAGTAGACTGTCTACCCTAACATGAACGCTCCTCTGGACCAAGCTCCAGTTTTTGCTTTCCTGGTGCCACAACTGGAAAGGCTCCCCACATCACATCCCTGGCAATGCTCTGTTTGTCCCATATGGAGTAAGTTACCATCATAGTTTCCCTCCCTGTCCTGAATCCTTCCACCCACATCTCCAGTGTGCTGTTCCATTGTACACTTTGTCCTTGATAAATTTCTAGCCCCAGCCTCATCATTTTATCACTATATATATATATATATATATATATATATATATATATATATACACACACACACACACACACACACACACACACATACATATATGTATATATGAAAACTTTTATACTGCCAGTTAGTTGAGCCCCCATGTCATCTGCCTGAGCTACCCTGTTCTGTAGCACAAACCTCTCAGTTAGCATGCGTTTATTTATGGGCTGTGCAACAAGAGTCCTCAATACTTTCCAAAATATCTTCATGCTCATTATTAAGATAACATAGGCAGGAATCACTGTCTTCATTCTCCAGTTTAAAAAACTCAAGTTTCAAGTTACTATATACAATAACAGTTATTATTAGTAACTAATTATTACTGATAGCGATGCTAGCAACTAACATTTATTGGGCACTTAAAAGTCCTTCACTAAGTACTTTACACATCATCCTCTGTTTAAGAAAGAGGAAATAAGTTTCCCAAGACACAAAGCTCCTAAGTAACTCCAAACTAGGCCTCCACTGTAGACCTCTGAAGCACATGGAAGACAATGTGGGCTGGCTATTTCTACTCTCAAGCTCTTCTACATTCTATCTTTAATTTTCAGTTTAATTTAACTGATGTTTATTGGGTCTGCCAAATAGCAGGCATGTGCGTGACCCAGAGATAAATGAGACAATGTCTCTAGCCTCAAGGAGCTCATTAGTTTAGAGGGGAGGGAAGACACAAATAGAAAGATTAAACACAGAGCAATAAAAGGTTTTTACAGAAAGGTGACCATATAAATTGTCCTAGGAATGAGGTGCTACTAATAACACTGGAATGATGGGAGTAGACAAAGGTGTCCCTGGCAAGCGCAGCAAATCGGCCCCTGTAATACCACAATGCTACTCTAGAAGCTTCCCTACTGTCAGCCTGCTGGACACTATCACTCCATTTAGTGGCTCTGTGATCCATAATACTAAAATTATTAAATTTTCTGTAGAAACGATGAAAAAAATGTGGACAAGGCATGGACAATTATTGCTTCTTGAAGTGAGTTGAGTTGTAATGACTCAAAGTGAATTGCATTCCAGGAATTATTAACAGATATTGGGTTTAAAATTACAAAAATTGACATGGTGCTATTACCATCTCATAGAAATTTATTTCCTATATTCATGGAGTGCCTTCCATGTCCCTGAATATGCTTGAGGTAACTCTCCCTGCCACCCTGCATTCCACCTACTCTCACCTCCCACAAAAAAAAGGGGGAATCAGTGAGCCAAAAAAAAAAAGAAAATTAGGAAATTTTCAAAAGAATATTACACAAATAATTAAACTCACGGCAGGCTGTGTGCATTATAGAACAGCACAGTGTTCCTGTCTTCATCCTTTGCTTACCCACACATTCTTCTCCTTCCTCAGTCCCTAGATATTCAGGTCTTTTGCATCTATAAGTGCTTAAACTTTGGCTTCCAGCTATCCAGGCCTTCTCCTCACAGGAAGCCAAACTTTGGTCCCAAAGCAATGGTTTAAACTTCCTCAGCGAGTAGGTCAACAGAGAGGCCAAACCTATGGACTCTCTCTTTATAAAAATATGCACACCTCTCCATCTATTTTCAGGGGTGTTCCCAGTTCTTCAATAAGGCCCTGCTCTGGAGGGCTCATGAGGTTGAATCTAGTTAATCTTTCAGAATTTACCCTCAGCACTTTAATTTAGGGTTTGACATGAGGTGAGCACTTGGTGATACGTGAAGTGTAGACATAAGAACATGGAAATGAAACAGGACACAGGTCAGTGGCTGTCTCCAAAGAAGTCTTTCCAGTGTGATGTCATCACGTGGGGACTACCAAATCCTGAGAGTGACTCTCAGCCTTCTAGTCCCAGAAACTGCTGAAAGAATCATTGTCCACAGGAAAGACACAAGGTGAGCAGATTTCAGAGACCAGGGCACACAGAGAGAGGAACAGATGAAATTATCACACCAACCAGATCAACGTGGGGGTTGTATTATGATCACATTCCCTCCCCAACAGCACCATCCACAGTCATGGTTGTCCTGACAGTGGAGCTATATGTCAGCACAGTGCTTAAAATGGGCTCTGGAATCTTCTCTCACCATCTCACATCCTGATTGATAGGCGCCCTCTTTAAACACATTAATTTGTTCAATCAAATTACAGTCAAATTTTGTTGGCCTGGGAGCCATTTAGTCTCTTGAAGACATTTTACATTTCTCTGCAGGCTTTATTTAATATTTGAAGGTTTTAAAAGACTCCATTTTTAAAAGTTGACTTCCCTGAAGATAATTTCTTTTCCCTTATTTCGAAATGTTAGGTGTGAAAAGAATACTTTGCTGTAATTTCCATGCATTACAACACAAATCTGTCAAATGAATGCGATTTACCTTGCTGCTTACCTCCACTCTGATACCTATTAAAATTTCTGCTTCAGTAGTTTCTTGTTTGCCACTCTTTAGTACAAAGGAGAATTTCCCAAGCTTCTAAGTTAATGTGACTTTGAGATTCTCATACTCAACAACCTAATCCACAAATCTGGAGGCACACAAAGAATAACCTGCAGATAGGTTTCTCATTGACCTGCTAAGTATTTCTTAAATTTTTAAATTGGTCCCCTAGCTATTTTCACACAAAAATAGCCATTTCTGTTTTTTTCTTCCAAACAAATCAGAAATTGTGGCCATATTTCCCCCATGTTCTTGTACTGTAAGAATCAGACAGAGAAGACAAAAAGACACCTTCCAAATAACCCAGGAAGGAGCTTGAACTCCACCCAGTGAGAGGATACTGTCACAATCCATATCCACACAAGGGATTGAACGCCATGCTTCACGCATGTGGACCACAGCGGCACCCAGTGGCGTGGATGACTCTGTGAACGGCAGGTGGACACGGTGCCAAGTATTGCAATAACATCACGACCACTTCATAAAGTTAAAAGCAAATTCAATTTAAAGTACTTTTTAAGGATACAGTTAGATAAAATAAAACCATATAGAAAGGGAAATAAGGATATGAAGAAGACACAATAGAAGACAATGGCCACCTCTACTAGGGCCAGGCAGGGGCATGACAGGTCAGACAATTAGATGTAGGTTATTTTCAGGATCCCAGTTTTCATCTGGGTGGTGGGTTCGTCACATTATTCTGAAGAACTAATGGAATAACTAAGATAATGCCATATAACCTGGACAGATAACCAGAGTGCGTCACAGACCCAAGATTATGGATTATCTAATTGGGAATATCTGAAGTCATGGAAGAAAAGAAAGAAATAACCAGCTGGGGTGAGGAAGAGGTGCCCGTGGTAAGGAGCACGTGCTCTCCTGATTCCTGTTGTCCTTGCCACACTTTATCCTCCCCCTGCCA